GCCTGCTGTGTTCATCCAGCTCTACACCTTGTTATCTCAGATTCTCCAGCATCTGTAGTTCCTACTATCTCTGACACACTCTCATTTTCCTCCTTTTTCTGTTTGTCCTTTCACCAATTACTTGATATTTATGTTGTTTAGTTCTTGACCCTTTTCCAATGAGAACAATTTCCCTCTGTTGACTCAATCGAGATCAGAGCTTCCCAAAGATTTTTCTCACCGTGATCCCATTTTATAGTTTCAAAATTATCATGTGCCCTCCTTACGAGCCATGAGAATAGAGGTGGATGGGGGCAGGAAGACCCACGATGTCAGTGAAGGGAGGAATTGTGACAGCAGGTGGAAGGGTGCATCTACATGGCAGCCATTGCTGCCTCTGGGGCTTTCAACTCCACTTGGGGTTCCAATCATATCTATGGGAAGAAAAACAGAAGTTGCTGGAAAAGCTTAGCAGATCTGGCAGCATCTGTGAAGAAAGAAATCAGAGTTAACATTTCAGGTCCGGTGACCCTTCCTCAGAACAGTTCTGGGGAAGGGTCACCAGACCCAAAACGTTACCTCTGATTTTTCTCTTCACAGATACTTGCCAGACCTGCTGAGCTTTTCCAGCAACTTCTGTTTTTGTTCCTGATTTACAGCATCTGCAGTTCTTTCAGTTTTCATATCTATGGGAAGCCCTGACCAAGATCCCTCATGATTTTGAACTTTTCTATTAAGTGGTCTCCTGTAAACATTCTCTAAGGAGAACAGTCCCAACTTCTCCACACTCTCCATGTAACTGAAGTCTCTCATCCACTTCCATCTAAATTACTCCCAATGAAGTATTTCTGAAGTAATGTAGGAAACTCAGCAAACAATTTGGACACAGCCCAAGTAAAGCAAATTTATGTTGATTGAGGACTAAATATTAATCACAGGAATGTCTATGCCTCGCCAATAAAAGGAGATGGGGCCTTGAGATGAATTCTCATCTAAAAGACAGTATATCCAATATTCCAGCACTCACTTAAGCGCTGTTCTAGACTATCAGTCTGGACATGTATGCTGTGTTAAAGTGGGGCTTAAACTCACAAGTGGGATTATTAGCCATTGAGTCATGGTTAACCATACAACTTATTGTAATACACAAGCAATTCTGTTCCTTTCCTACTTCCCATTTTTTGGTGGCTTGTACTGTACACCCAGTAATGTATTGTTCCTTAGTTCTAACCAAATAAATTGTCTCGGGCGTCTCAATTACATGGACCCACTTCAGTACTTAATTGTAGCTTAAACTAATACTGCCAAACACATCTTTTATATCTTCCCTATCTTTCTTGAATACTTACTGACAGATACATTTGGTTATAATTTCACCACCTTTTTTTCAAAGCCAGGTATTTCTTTGCCAATGCCATTATATCATAGGCCTATGTGACAAATTCAGCCTGAAACTCACCAAACTTATTTACCATGATATGACATGCATTTACATACATGCATACCAGACGCTTCTTATTCTGCCTTACATTTGACACTGTTTAGTCCATCCCGACTCTGAAATATTATCTACCCTTGTGCTATTTTTCTCTCTGTACATGCACCGGAGTCTCTTTGCTAACGTCCTCTCGATGCCCAACTCTTCGTTAAAAGTACTTTGAACTCTCTCCCAAAAGATCAGTTAACATTCCTTCAATGACCCTGGACTCGAACAGACCTGGGATTAAAAGGCCCATCTTGAACTGGTTCCAATGCCCTAAGAATCTGAACTTGCTTTCTTGCACCATTTCTCCAGCCACACATTAACCAGTCTTATTCATCAATTCCTCCACGATCACATGGCAGTGAATATCATCTACACAAACAGCAAAATGATTAGACCCCATGCTCACCAGCCTACATGGCTCCTCGTTTATAAATCCTTCAATGGCCTATTCTTCCTTCACTCTCTAACATCCTCCAGCCTCACAAATGTTTTGAGATATTTACATTCCTCTAATTCTTGCCTCTTGCACAATCCTGATTTTAATTGCTCCACCATTCATCTTCATGCTTTCAGTCCCCTCAGCCCTTAACTCTAGAATATATGGCCTATATCTTTTCATCCTACTTTCCTGCTTTCGGGTACTACTTAAAGCCTACCTTGTTGATTAACCTTGCAATAACTTGGCCAATTATCTGCTTACGTAGCTCAGCGTCACATATATGCTGCTTTGAAGTGCCTCAGGATGTCTGACAACAGAAAGGGTGCTGCTCAAAATGTAAGTACCAGCTGTGGCTCAGCTGAACCAGAAGGTTCAAGGCCCACTCTGAGACTTGAGAGCAGAAATCAAGTCTGACACTTTAGTGTACTACTTCAGGGAGATCGGCATTGTCACAGAAATGTTACAATGTAGAAGGAGGCCATTCAACCCATTATGTCTGTGCTGACTGAATGAAAACTTCATTTGGTGCTATGCTGTTGACGGAGGTGCTGTCTTTTGGATGTTAAAAACCGAGGCCCCATCCGCTCTCTCAGGCGGACATGAAAGATATACTACCGCAATATTTCAAAGTGATGGTAAGTCAATATCTATGGCCTAGTCAACACCAGAAAATAAAATTCTGTTCATTATCAAATTGCTGTTTCATTCTTTTTTTAGAAAAAATGTTAGTCTGTGATACCGACACAACAGAAAGTTGTTCATATGTTTTGATGATGTTGAGTAAATCTCGGCCATTAACTACACAGCGCTGCTGATTTTATAGTTACACATTTCTGATGAGTCTGCAGACTCGGAGGCCCTGGTGATTATCTCTCAATGCAGGCTGTCCCTGGGCTCAGTGCTGATCCTCACCCGCTTTTCAGGCCGCCTCTCCCTGCCGGCGGCGCCTATAGCACAGGCCGCGGCCCTCGCTCCATCGCCCGCTCTCCTTCCCACCCCCGGAATTCGTGCAGTCTAAATCCTCCCGCCGCCCAAAATAAAGGTAACCGTTCTCAACAACAATAATAACAATTAAAACCATGAACCGACCGTTTGTTTACGGAACCGACGTAACCGGAAGCGCCCACGCGGGCAAGCCGGTCCCGCGGTGCCTTATGGGAGCTGTAGTTTATCGCTCATCTACTATTGGGCACGCGCATGGCGCCTGGCTGTAACCTGTCAGAGGAGAGGGATAATTTTGTTGTTTTCTGTGCATAATATTTTTGTTAGCTCATCATTGAATGGTTTCAGCACGGACAGCCTTATCAAGTCTATGTTAGTCTTCTGCGAAAGGAGCTACTCAGCTATTCCCACTCCCTGCCCAAGTGCAGAATTTATTTGCCTTTCCTGCTGCGTTCCTCCAGCTCCACATTGTGTTATCTCCAGAATTTATTTCTTTCCTTGCAGATGCTTAACCAATTCCATTTTGACAGCCTCGATTCATTTTTCCTCCATCATACTCTGAGGCTTATGCTCTTGATTCTAATAGTTTTATGATGGATCCTCAAGTTGTAAGACAGGGAAGAGTGTCATACAGTCAGCATCACAGTGAAGTCTGGGAAGAGTGAAAACTAATGTGGGGCAAGAGGAGCGGGCTATTCCCTGGCATACACATTGACAAATATTGACAGTGCATGGAGGACCATCAACTTGGTGAAAGATGTTCTGTGGTTTGCTTGAAGCTATTGGTCTTCCAGTGCAAAGAGTTGACCTCGACTGAGTATTACAGACTAGCCCATTCCAAAGTCCAGGACAAAGTGCTGAGGGTTGCACTAAAGCTTGGGACAGCTGCCTTCAAGGCACAGAAAGGCCACCATCTGAAGTTTTTCTAACGTAATATTATAACAATCTGTTATGTTGAAAGTCCCTTTATAGCTTTACTTGGAATATAAATACATTTTTGGTCACGTTTAGAAAATGCTTTTTTGTTCCACCTGAGTAGAAGCTCGAATGACGAAAGTCTACATTCTACTATATTTTTAAAAAGTCTATTCTTTGCTGTTTTGTACTTTGTATTTATAAATGATCTATAAACAAAGTATATTTTTGAAATAAAAAAGCAGCAGCTTTTGGGTAAGGTAAAGTGAGTATTTAAACTATTTTGTTGCTTTTAAGAGTAAAGGTAACAGTGCAGAGTTCTAGAGAAGAAGGACCCTAGAGTTATTGACATTATTTTATTTTCAGGACAATCTAAGGGTTTAATTTGTAGGGGTTAGTCATGGAAGGTCAGCTGAAGCTCATGGTGTGTTCCTCCTTTTCTGTCTATGAAACTAGGCACCGATCCAGTGTCCACATTTAAATGTGTGTAGTAAATAAAGTCATAGAATCATAGAAATATACAGCACAGAAACAGAACCTTCAGTCCAACTCGTCCATGCCAACCAGATAGCTTAAATAAATCTAGTCCCATTTGCCAGCATTTGGCCCATATCCCTCTAAACCCTTCTAATTCATATACCCATCCATTTTAAATGTTCTAATTGTACCAGCCTCCACCACTTCCTCTGGCAGCTCATTCCATACGCACAGCACATCTGCGTGAAAAAAATGCCCCTTTAGATCCCTTTCAAATCTTTCCCCTCTCACCTTAAGATATTTTCCCCGGTGTGGGGGAGTCCAAAACTAGAGGGCATCAGCTTGTCTATTTACCCTATCCATGCCCCTCATGATTTTTATAAACCTCTACAAGGTCACCCCTCAGCCAGGGGTGACTGCTCCAGAGAAAATAGTCCCAGTCTATTCAGGAACAAAAACAAAGTTGCTGGAAAAGCACAGCAGGTCTGGCAGCATCTGTGAAGGAGAAAACAGAGTTAACATTTCGGGTCCGGTGACCCTTCCTCAGAATGCTGCCAGACCTGCTGAACTTTTCCAGCAACTTTGTTTTTGTTCCTGATTTTACAGCATCCGCAGTTCTTTTAGTTTTTGCCCAGTCTATTCAGCCTGTCCCTGTAGCTTAAACCCTCCAACCCTGGGAACATCCTTGTAAATCTTATCTGAACGCTTTCAAATTTCACAACATTCTTCCCACAGCAGGGAGACCAGTTACAGCTTCTGGAGCCCAAATTTTGAAGCTGGAGCAGCAGCTGAGGCTACAGGAGCAAATTCAGCTCTAACTCCATTTACAAACTTACTGATGATTCCACCATAGTGGGTTGGATTTCAAACAACTCAAGACAGAATACAAGAAGGAGCTAGACCGTTTAGTGCCATCATGTAAAGACAACAATGTCCCTCAATGTCAGCACAATGAAGGAGCTGGTCATCGACTTCAGGAAGCAGAATGGAGGACACACCCCTGTCTGTATCAATGGTGCTGAGGTGGAGGTGGTTGAGTCCTTCAAGTTCCTAGGAGTAAATATCACCAATGATCTATCCTAGTCCATCCACATCGCCATTACAGTAAAGAAAGCACACCAATGTCTCTGCTTCCTCAGAAGGCTAAGGAAATTCAGCACGCCCACAATGACTCTTACCAATTTTTACTGATGCACCATAGAAAGCATCCTATCTGGATGCATCGCAACTTGGTGTGGCAGCTACTCTGCCCAAGACCGCAAGAAGTTAGAGTTGTGAACACAGGCCAGTCCATCATGAAAACCAGCCTTCCTTCTATTGACTCTGTCTACTACTTCCTGCTGCCTCAGGAGAGCAGATCAATCAAATACCCCTCCCACCCCAGTTATACTGTCTTTCATCAGGCAGAAGATACAACAGTTTGAAAACATGTACCAACAGATTTGAGAACAGCTTCTTCCCGCTGTTATCAGACTTCTGAATAGACCTCTCATATTAGTGTTGAAATTTCTTTGCACCTTCTCTGTAGCTATAACACTATATTCTGCATTCTGTTCTATTACCCTGACATACTTATGTAAGGTATAATTAGTTTGGTTAGCACACAATACAATACTTTTCACAGTATCTTGGTACATGTGACAACAATAAATCAAATCAAATCAAAATCCACAAGGCTGAGACTGCCAAGGATAGTAAATACAGACAGGTGATCACTCCATAAGCTATGATTCCACAGAAATGGAGGGGAAAAACCATCAGGCAAGGAAAGCAGACTAGGTAATCAGTGCAGGAATCCCGTGTACATTCCTCTGCAAAAGAGATATAGTGCTTTGGATACTATGGGGGGCAATGGCCTCTCAAAGGAAAGTAGCAACAGCCAAACACATTGCACCACAGTTGGCTCTGCTACATAGCAGTAGGAGTAGGAATGCTATTAGTAATACAGGAGTCAATCGTGAGGGGAGTAACTAGACAATTCTGTGGCTGCAAACAAGACCCCTCAAGAATATCTTGGATTGGCTACATTCTGGAGTGGAAGAGTGAACAGTCAGTAGCAATAACAGGTTATAAAAAGGGATGAGGTACTAAAAACAGAATATAGGGAGTTAAGCAAGTTTTTAAAAAAAGACAGGACCTCAAAAGGTAGCGATCTCAAGATTGTTACCAGTGCCATGTGCTAGTCAGAGTAGAAACAGCAGAATATATCAGATGAATATGTGTGACTGTACAGATGGTGCAAGGAGGAGGATTTCAGATTTCTGGGACATTGATGTTTCTGGGAGGGAGGTGTGACCAGTACAGGCTGGACGGGTTGCACCTGGGTGGGACTGGAACTGATGTCCTTGGGAATGTATTTGCTAGGGTGATTGGAAAGGGTTTAAAATAAAATAGCAGGGGGATGGGAACCTGTACAAGGAGATAGAAGACAGGGAAACAAGGGTTAAAAAAAAAGGCAGACATTAGTAATGTGATATGCAGAGAGTTCAAGGGCAAGAATCAAACAGGGCCACAGTGCAAAATAATGCGAATGGTTCAAAGAATATTAAAAGTTAAAGCCTTAAGGTCTGGATGCTAAAATAGATATAAACGGTAGTGATATAGTTGGGATTACAGAGGCATAACTGCGGATGAGCAGCGACGGGTATTGAGTTCCATTTATCAGAAGGACAGAAAGAAAGAAGAAGGTGGTGGGTTGGTAGCTTTGTTTGTTAAAGAGGAAATTTGTGCAATAGTGAGGAAGGATATTAGCTCTGGTGAAGTGAAATCTGCATAGTTAGAGCTTAGAAAAACTAAGAGGCATAAAACAACAAAGGGGATTATATACAGAACCACCACCACCATCACCCCCACCGCCGCAATCATAGTGGTAATGTTGGGGAAGGCATTAAACAGGAAATTAAGAGCTATGAGCAACAAAGGTACAGCTGAAATTGTGGGCAAATTTAATCTGCATATAGATTGGGCAAATCAAATTAGTAATAATACCATAGTGGAGGAATTCCAGGATGTGTACAGGATAGTTTTCTGGATCAATACATTGAGGAACTGGAGAAGAAGCCATCCTATACTAGTATTATGTATATAGGAATAATTGACAATCTCTAGCTGTGCAAAGCTCCTCAGGGAAGAGTAATATAACATGATAAAATTCTTCATTAAGACAGAGTGACATGGTTGATTCTGAGACTAAGGTCCTGAATCTAATTAAAGGAAACTAGAATGGTATGAGGCATGGGCTGGCTATAATAACTTGGGGCATGTTACTTAAAGGGATGACAGTGGATAGGTAATGGCAAATATTTAAAGAGCATACACAGGAACTGCAACAATTGTTCATTCCTGTCTGGCACAAAAGTACAACTGGAAAGGTGCCTGACCATGGCCAACAAGGGAAATTAGGGATAGTATTACATCCAAGAAAGGGCATACAAACTGGCTAAAAAAGTGCAGCAGACACGAGGATCGGAGCAATTTAGATTTCACCAATGGACGACAAAGGGATTGATTTAATAGGGAGAAAATAAAGTATGAGAGTAAGCATGTGGGCTTGCAGCGTACGTACAACTGATTACAAAAGCTTCTATAGGTAGGTGAAGAAACTAAGGACTAAGGGCAGCATGGTGGCTCAGTGGTTTGTACTGCTGCCTCACAGCATCAGGGACCCAGGTTTCAGTCTTAGGTGACTGTGTGTGGAGTTTGCATGTTCTCCCTATGTCTTCATGGGTTTCCTCCAGGTGCCC